ATTCGTTTTTTCGAAGATTCGAGAGATTCGTGCTTCGCAGGGCATTTCGTATTCGAAGCGAAGCTCGAATACCATCTAGTTTTTTTCTTTCTTTTTTACTATACGTACGCATCAAAGTTGTCATTTTGTGACGCAGTGATCTCGAAAATGGAAACTCACAAAACACTCGTTTAAACGCGAAGCCAAAGTATCGAGATCGAACTCGTAACTTTTCTATTGATATTGTTGTGAAAATGCTTAGTTTCCTCATAATCGGTTTCCAAAACTGACAAATATGAAACTATTTATTTGCTTTTCGTTTTGAGATAATTAAAATTGAAAGAATAAAACAAAGTTAGGCGCCATTTACTTTTCTCATATCGGCACGGCCAAGCGTTACGGAATTTCATTTTTTCAACTTGTGAGATAAATATCTTCTCAATAACAAGAGAAATGCTTCTGAAATTTTGGGCATACATAAAGGTAAACTAGCTCTGTGAGCACTGAAAATTTCATGGAGTTATCACAAGCCATAGCGAAATTATTTGAAAAATATCGTTCGTTACGGAATTTCAAAAAATGGACAAAATTTTTAGGGATGACTCACATTTTAGCATTTTTATACGAAACTAAGCTACTCATAAATGAACGTTCTATACAAAATTTGTTCAGTTTTTCACATACTCTTAGAATATCGTGTTGTTTTCGCCATAGGACAATCCCTTCGAGTAAGCTAACTTAAAAGGCTGAGCGTTACGGAATTTCAAATGTTATGGAATTTCACCAATTTTCTCTTTTTCCACGGAGGACAGTTTAGTGCCATTTTTGTGATAATTTTACCTGTTTAATCTAACCTTTTTTGTTCCGTAACGATTAAGAATATGGTTTTTTATAAATCGATTAGTTCATTTTCATCTTCTTTTCAAAATTTCATTGAAAATTCCATTCATTATTTTGACAAAAATGAAAGGTTAAAAAGTGAAAAAACAGTGAAATTTCGTAATTATTCGTGTTTTTAAACTCGTAGGAAAGAAAAATGATATTGGTTTTATATGTCAGCTGTGTAACTCGGAATACGGAACAAACTTAATAATATTTCAAGATCACACTCTCTATAACAAATTTTTTTTTCTGAATCTTACTGATCTCGAACCTTCCCCAACGAAGGGGACCGATGGCTGGCCGTGCCGATATGTCAAACAGCTGTAAATACAGCTGATAGTAGATAATGAATCATTGAGATAAATAATCGATCAATAAACAACAGTTTCTAGAAGTCTGTCGATACGCTTTAGTAGAGTTTCTCTAGTGATTAATTTCATAATGGATACTTTTCATCTCAGATCTAGGTTCGATCAGCTGTTCGAAAAAAATTTCTTTTTAATCTCTTATCCTTACTTGAGAAAAACTTCAATTATCTTTGAACCTTGACGTAGAATGTAAGAAGGAATTCCGACAATATTTAGACCGTTTATTCGATTTCGGTACGAAATTCGTTTTTCGGATTCTCGGCACGTGTGCTTCGCACCGCATTTCGTATTCGAGTCGAAACTCGAATACCATCTAGTTATTTATTGTTTGTGATACAACAATCTCAATAAATTGTATATACAATTAGTCATCGAAAAAAACGAAAAAAAGAAAACGACAAAAAACATGTTACTCCTTTTTTGATAAATTTCATACTCAAAAATAGAATTCTTAGTTATTATTTGAGTGTATAAACTTAAAATATAATACTGATGTTTATGCAAAGTTCATGTTATTATTGGATAGAAGAGTATGTTTATTTTTTCAATCAGCCAACAATATCAAATATTACTCGGTTGTTTCCTTGTCAAGAATAATGGAATACATAAATAATCAAGCATTTTATAATTATTACTTAAAACTTCACATCGATTGCTAAAGATTTTGTTAAGTTTTCTTTTTCTGAAAAATGAACGATCACGATCAATTCGAATCATTATTGGCGCACAAATTTATTCGTTTAACTAACTAAAGAGAATCTCAAAAGTTTAAGAGGATTAGTCATATGAATTGATATTTTTATTTTTCAGCTAGTTGACTCTCAATATTCAATTCACTAATTAACTACTGAATTTTGTTTTTGACTTCACAAAGATTCAGATTTACGTTACACTTCATTAACAGCTTTCCATTTTCTTTCAAGCATGATGATCGCCATCGATATGATCTACTGGAAATGTTCGTTAAGGTAGTATTTACGTCGATGGTTCGACATCATTTCGTGACCCAAAAGAAACTATATAACAATGACTTTTTCTTCAATTGACTTCGCTTTTCTTTCAGTAGCGTAAATAGGGGGGGGCGCGTGGGGCGTTACGCCCCCCCTGCTTCGGAAAATTACTAGAAAAAAAGGGGTTTACGCCCCCCCTGCTTTTGAAAATTCCGTTGTTTTTGCTCATCAAAATAGAAAAAAAGGGGTATACGCCCCCCCTGCTTTCGGAAATTCCAGTTTTTGGCTCATGAAAATTTTCGTTAGTTTTGAAGGAATAAATTTTGGGATTAGGCTGAGGGGGAGTAGGGGCTTTTTTTTTTTTTAGTGTTGACTTTGGATTTTTGGGAACCTCTCCACTCTTGGAAACAATCGACAACCTTGATTATGGTCCCCTGTTTCTGCAAAGTTTATTTTTTTGGTGGTGGAAATAAAAAATTAGTATTACGCCCCCCCTGCTCTGACATCTGACTTACGCCCCTGTTTTCTTTTGTTAAAAATCACCAATAGATGATGATTGTAGTCTCGCTAAATGACATAATATAGCTGATTGTTGAACTACGTGTACATTACATTGAAGAGTGTACTGCTAATCAAACTCTAATTTTAGACCATGCTTCGACTAGATATTCGAATGATTAATCACTAAAGGCATCAAATATCTTGATCCATATGAGTTAAGAATTCGACATGAAAATTTTACTGTTGAACTTATTTATGAATATACAATCATCAACACCTATCAATCGAACTTAAACCTCATTCTTCGTGCCATTCATATTCTCAATATGAAACCATTCGATATTCTTCTTCAATTTCTTCTCAAACGTTCATAATTACGTAAACATAAGCATATAGTATCAAGGATGAGGTTTTATTCACAGGGAGGGTGTGGATGTGACTGTGTGAGGAGATAATTCATACCGAGATACACACGTATACGCAAACCCAGATTCACACCTATATACGTACACCCATATCTACTCCAAAGAATTCCATCGTATGCGTTGGTATAATACTTCGGCGGTTATTTTTGATAGTTTTATTCATTTTGTTCTATTTATGAAAAGAGGGTGTAGGTGTGGGTGGGTGTGAGTGTGGGTGTTAGTCTTTCTCTCATCAGCACTCGCATCCCACACCCACACCCCACCCACACTCTTTGTTGCTTCCTCCTCTAAAAACTCCACCATCGGCTGAAATCCTCGGTAGATTGGTGGACGAGTGAGAACATTTAGATCATCAGCAAAGATGTGACTCGAATGTGCGCCGAGACATGCAACAAGATCACAGTGATAGAATATAGAGATAATGTTTGGCAATTGTCATAAAGAAATAATGCCGTAGGAGAGTAACCAGCAGCTACGTATTATCGTTCTGGCTGCTCTTTGGTTTTCGTCGTTTCATTTGTCCTTCCTTATATCACCTTGCTCCAAAGTCCACTGTGTAGGATTTGAATCAAGGATATCATTTTTTTTTCGTTCTTCTTCTTCATATCAAAATAATATTTAAGCTTGGGCCTGTCAAAAAGACGATATGCTCTTATACACCGAATATGAGATTGATAACCTTTGGTTTTTCTCTTTCTATCTGCAAGGACGAATAAAAAAGAAAGCGATGTATCGTGCATTTACTACGTGATATCGTGTAGTGTGCGCCACACAATGACAGACCAAATTGTACGTCAGACAACGCCTTTAACAACATCTGTAAATAAATCGGAACAACAAAGTAAATTGCACAACGAACAATCTACTGGCACGCCGATACCATGTCATGAATCACATCATGAACATCATCGTGTGTTTGCTCCGCTTAACACGCCGATGTATCGTCGTCGACAAACATTAACAATTTTCGTCGGGTTTATTGTGCCATGGTTTTGTCTCTATATATCATTGCAATGTCTTCGTTCAGACAATCCGTATATATTTTACTGTTTTCTTGTTTATCTATCATGGATGGTTCTATTTCGAAAACATCCACGACAAGGTGGCCTCAAACAACAATGGCTACGTCGACTTGTCTGGTGGAAATGGTTTGCCGGTGAGTAGAAGAGAAAAGAAAAACAAAAAAAGAAAGTATTCGTACTTCGAAGATTTATTGTGTCTTTACTAAGAGACAAAAAACAAAAATTATTTTTCATGTCGCGTCATTCAATGGACGAAGGAACATGATGCGATCTCTTGTAGAGCAACTGTTTTTTATCCTATCAAATCATAATGAAAATCTACAATTGGATAACACGTTGATTTGCATCATTGCCCCGATCGCAGGTTCTGAAAACTAGGAAAAAAAGACAATGAATTCTGTGAGTACAACTTTAATCACGACTGTGTTCGAGGGTCGAGACTAGAAGAAACACAGTACGGTTCATCGTTGTGTTATCGAGCAGATGAAACGAAATGTGTCTGTCGAGAACAATATCGAATAAAAGTTTCTTTTTATTATATTTGTTTATTCTAGAATATTTTCCAATTCATTTACATAAAACATGCGA